CTTGCGCCGTTTCCAAGTAATCGATAAGAATCGATTTTGCTAAATAATAAGAGCTAGAGTCACCAAAGTTGACATGTAGCTTCTAGAATAGTATATATATATATCAAGTATCTTTCATTTTATACCTATCGCCTGACGGAAGAAGAAGGTTCAGGGTTCCGACTAGAACCTTTTACTTGGTAGAATATTGGAATACTTTGGAACACTGAAGCGCCGATCTTTCAGTTAGGACAAGTTGTCTGCCCGATCGCTCGATCCCTTCACAATCAACTGCGATCTTGAGTAATTCAGGTATCGGACATGCCGTGTCTCACATGCCAAACTCACACGCAACCGAGACGCACCATATAAGGTCGCAACGTTCCTGAATCACTCCACACACAGGTATCTACATACATATATCCGAATATTTTGGAATGGCAGCACGTTCCGCACGTTTGCCACATGAAATTCTACATATTTGGCCAAAATGTTAATCAGCTCAACAATAAGCATTATGTTAGCCAAGAAGACCCCCACCCCAACCCCCCCCCCCCCCCCCAAAAAAAAAAAGAGAAAAGCATTTTGTTTGCTGCCCAAAAAGAAATGAAAAAAACACCAAACGTGTTTTACCTGATGTCCGGTACTTAAATAACAATGCGACAGCCCAAAAGAAAACTTAACACATTTTTATTGACAAGAGAAAGAGAGAGAGAGAGGAGGGAGAAGGGAGAGGGAGAGTGGGGCGGGTCTGTTCATATTGAAGAACTGGACTTATGTAAATTTGGATGGTTGTGAAAAATGCTTTTCGCTTACGCAACGCAACGCAACGCAGCCATGGAAACTGGGAAGGTGCCCGCCCGCCCAGTTTTGTCTTACGAAATGTTTTCGCTTCGCTTGGCCCGGACTCCGGTTCAGTTCGGGTCGGGCCGGGCCGGGCCGGGCCGGGCCGGGCCGGGTCTGGTCTGGCGTCGGATTAATTTTGTAACTTTCTTATGAAAGTCGCGAGCGGGGCAATTAAGGGCTTTCCCCTTGTCCAGCAATCCAGCTCTTCGAGTCGTTTAATTTATAGGCATGGCTTGGAAAACCATTCAGCTATAAAACGCCTCAAAGAAGTCAGTCGTGCGCAGAGCTTGGCTCCTGGAAATGGGAGCATCAATTGGGCATAGCTTTAACTAGCCAAGCTAATAGAGCGAGGAAAGCTCGAAGGTCGATCGACCCAGGCATTATATGGCTCTCCTATGGGGCTTACAACTATTAATGTTGCCTTTTCGATTTTCACTTATTTGTTATCGATAATCGATAGCTCGCGCCGTCTACCAGCAATCGATAACGAAATATTGGATGGAATGAAGCTTCCGGGCTAGAGCAACTGTTGCTTGTTTAAAGCATAAGTTTCTGGATTTCAATTCGATTTAGTTTGCCATAAATCAGAACTCACATACTCAAGAGCCAGCCGGAGCTTGGCCTCGAATCATGATTAGCACAAGTTGACAATGGGAGACCTTCAGTTGTAAGACCCGAGACTTGGCTCGATTCGCAATGAATCGCATGTACTAATGACGTATGGGAACTGCGGAACGTGTTTAACGGCAACACACGCACACTCACACTCACACACACACAGACAGACACTCCCACGATATTAGCATGAGGCCCATTGTCAGATCTATATACAGATATTGATGTACATCCGTGTATCATTAAAAAATAAAGCGAAAGATGACCGGATGTTGATCGAGAAATAACACAGCAGCCATAACAATGACAAGTAACAAACGGAATTCGCAGCACACCGAAATTTTGATACCCTTATGTGCAATATTTTGATGGGTTATGTCCAGATATCGGAGAAAACAGAGAAAATAATATGAAAAAAAATATTTAGAAATATTATCGGATATAGTATGCCGATCTTATAAAGTTTTTGCTCCAAGACTTTTTGCTTTTTCCATGAGTTACACATTTCATGACTTTATTATAAAACCCTCGATAAGGGTATAAGAACAACAATTGTATTAATTGTGTGTTGAGTAAGTTGAAATCCTAAGTAGAATCTTTCATTTACTTATGGTTCTTGATCAGGACGACCGGGTAATTTAATCGACCCTCTGTCGTTCTTATGAACAAGTTCCTAACGGCATCTACAAAAGCTTCAAATCTTGAAATTCCAAATATATATGTATATAGTCTCGTTTGCCACACGCAAAACGAGTTTATTATTTATGCTTCGATATTTCTAGTTCATTTACATAAGATCGATATATATCGATTTTGCGACATTGTTCGAGAATCATAAGAGCTGGACAAACCAAAATTGTTATATAGTAATATATAATAAATAAGAATCATTTCTTAAAGTAAGCGCCTTGATCGGACAATAAGCACCGAGTATGCACATGTTTCCTTATGTGCATAAAAGAGGGCTAGTATGTTGGGTCTAGGGTAACTGCTAGTCGAGCACACTCGACTGGTTCAGTCTTGTTTCTTTTTTATACCCTGAACCCATTGAAAATGGATAAAAAGGGTATTATGTATTTGTGCAAATGTATGTAGCAGGCAGAAGGAAGCATCTCCGATCCCATAAAGTATATATATTCTTGATTAGCATCAACAGCCGAGTCGATCTAGCCATGTCCGTCCGTCTGTCCGTAAGTCCGTCTGTCCGTCCGTCCGTATGTACCCAACACAAGGATCTCATAACCTATAAGAGATAGAGACTTGAAATTTTAGCTGAAGGTCCTCCTAGTGCCCGCGCAGATCGAGTTTGTTTCCGATATTCGATAACTTGCCCCGTTGCCAAGTAATCGATAAAAATCGATATATCGGGAGCTAGAGGTCTCTTAAAGATTGATTTGCATTTGGACTTTATTTTACCAATGTCTTTTATGAACACACACATGCACACACACACATATGTAACCCCTTGAGAAGGTTAATTGAATAATATGTTATAATTTGATTTAAATTGCAGGCTTTTGCCGCCAAGCACTCGGATGCGGAGTCGCTGCTGCACAATTTGAATGTCAAGTATTATTATTATACGCGGACCCGTGGCCTGTTCAGAATATGCTATCCCAAGGAGCGTCCGCCGGTAACAGCAGGTAACTAACCCAAAATAAGCCCAAGCGATTCGAAGTGCTCACCTGCGCCGTCTTCTTCTTCTTCTTCGTGCTCTTGTTGCAGTGCCCACGTACTTGTCGCCGATCGAGACGCACTGCTCGAACATTGACTACTTTCCGCAAGTGGAGGAGGACAAGATTTCGAATGAGGATGCCACATCACGTCTGCATTTGGCACGCTCCTGCATTGCGCTGTTCATAATTAGTTTCGTGACCATATTTTGCGCCTTCTGGACGGGGCTGTCCGGCTGCTGGAAGCGCTCCTCGGGCGCCATAACGGCCACATCGATCCTATTGCTGGTCACCTGTCTGCTGGCCGCTGGCGCCATGGGCCTCTGGCATACGGTTGAGTTCTTTGAGAAGGAGAAAGTCGTTGGCGAGGATTACTTCCAGCAGTGGAATACGGTTCGTTCGTACTCTTCCCGCCTTTCGTTACAGTCTCTAACTCCAATTGTTGTTGCTCCTTGCAGGTGCTGCGCGATAACACAAAGATTGTCTACGATTGGTCGTACATTGTGGCCTGGACGGGCATTGCCACCTGTCTGCTGGCTGCCATTCTGCTGTCCGGCGCCGCTGTCTGTCTGCGCAACGAGCGCGAGAAGGAGGAGCAGCTCAATCTGCAGTATCTGATGCCCGGTATGTGAATCGCAGCAGTTCAAATTTGAACCCACTCTAATTGGTTTCCCCCGCCCCCCTCTTTCTTGCAGTGTATTCGCAGAAGCAGCCGCCGTATCCGCCCTACGCCAACTACGCCCAGCCGCAAATCTATCCGGGCCCGTACTACCATGGCTCGCAGTATGGACCATATAATTATTAAACGAAATCCATGCAACGAATGAGCAAAATGAAAGCGGAATCAAAAACAAACACAAATGACAAATGACAACAAAAACAAAAAAAAAGGAAAGATAAACCGCTTGAAATCGCTTTTGAAATCACAAAAAGAGCTTTTGAAATGTGGGGTTAGGTTGAATTTCGCCCAGTTTCAAATCTGTCAGCCGTAACTGTAAATGGCAAAGAGTTTTGCGAACAAATGCTCGATTCTTCATTTTCGCTATCTAAAGCTAAACATATTTACACAGATACAGATACACACATACATGCATGTAATACAATTCAATATAACATATATAAACGTTTTTTTTTTTGTTTACATAAATTTAGTTTATAGCTTCTATCTATTTGTATAGAAATCGTGGGTCTTCAGTCAATATGCGTCGAAAGTATTTGGTGCGCAATTTTCGCAAAACAAAAACAAAATACAAAATAAACAAAGTAGAGAAAAAAAATGCAAAATGAAAAGTACTTACTGCAGGCGAATATAAAAAGAGAGAACAATAAAGATTTAACTTATTGTAGCATGTAACGTACATGTAGCTTATAATTATATATATATATATATCTATAATAATAATTACAATGATAATGATAATAATAATAACGTGTATCTAAGCATAAATTTTTTGTATATGTATATGAATGTAATGAGTTTAACTTTACAAATGCGCAGCAAGCGTCATTTTGTCTTCCAAGTACATCAAATGCGTGTGCATGTGTTAAGCTGTACTTTTAATTAATAAAAGTTTCTTACGTTATAAAATATTTAAATTTGATTTTTTACTCAGCATATCGATAATAATCAACGATAACATATATTGCTCTAGTCTGGCAACTCATTTGTGACGTCACAGTGCGCAGAAAGCAAAATTTTTCTGGCAGCGCAATTAATTTATCGATATTCGATCGTTATTTTTTTTTTGGTATTTTAAATACTGCATACGTATTCAACCACTTGCCGCATGCGGTCACACACACAAAACCCATAGCTGCTCACACACAAAATCGCGCAACTGGTCACATCGAATTCCGTAAAATCGTCACTCAAAAGCAAAAAAAAAAAAAAAAGGTAAAAGAAAAAGAAAACCGAAAGCCAGCAGCGAAAAATTCGCGGAAAATCGTGTGCGTTTCATTTGGCACAACACAAAAAAAACAACAACAACAAAATGTCCGGCAACGGTTTCGATGAAAATCCATTTGGTGAGCCCAATCTGGATAATCCATTTGCGGTAAGCCTGACAACAAAAATTCTGCTGATGAAAACCACACACACACACACACACACATACATATTTGTAAACGCGTGTGCATGTGTGTGACTGTAGGTGCAACGACGGCAGCTCATATCGAAATGTGTGTGTGTGTGTGTGTGTGTGTGCGTGCCGCCTACGCTTTGCTCACATTTTCTTTTATGCATTTATTTATTATATTATATTATTTTTTATTGGCTATTTAGGATCCGGCCATACAGCAGGCGACGCGCATGTCCACCAATGTCTCACTGGAGGATTACAATCCGTTTGAGGAGCAAGCGAAGCCCCAACTGCAAATCAACTCAACCAATACGGCGGCCGTCGTGCAGCCTCTCTCACAGAACATTCCGCCCCGCCAGCCCAATTTAGCGGGCGGCGCTGCTCCCAGCACCAGCATACAAATCACCTCCGAGGAGCTGCAGGTTAATACAAATGCTTCTTTTTTTTTTTTTGGTTTTCGACCAGCGCTGGCGGCAGCAAGATGCGTGTCGCTAGCTGCTCCAGTTACCAAGCGCGGCTCGCATTACAACAATTGCTGCTGCTGTTGTGTTGTTGTTCGTGTGGCTGCATTGCTGCGGCTGCAGCTGCTTGGGTGTGTGTGTCTATGTGTGTGTCTATTGCATGACATCCACACACACACGCATACGCACACCTACTGCGCCCTGTCACAGTTAGCTGATTGTCTTTTAATATTTACAGCGCCGGCAGGAGGAGCTGGATCGCAAGGCAGCCGAACTGGATCGCCGCGAACAGCAGCTGCAGGGCAATGTGCCGCAGCTAAATAATTGGCCACCGCTGCCGGATAATTTTTGCGTGAAGCCGTGCTTCTATCAGGACTTCGAGGTCGAGATACCGCCCGAATTCCAAAAGCTGGTCAAGCATTTGTATTACATCTGGATGTGTAAGCATTTTTGTGCCCGCTATTTATTATCGCCGCCGTATTGCTATAATTGAGACGCCCCAGCCGCCTGATAAGGCCGAATCGCATTAGTCATACGCCCAGCCAGCTAATCAAATGTCGAACGTTTCTGCATTTCGCAAACACGTAGCTGCAACTAGAAACAGCCATATGATTGATAGCACAATGGTTAACAGCTTAGCTCGATTTGCATAATTTCAGTTCGATTTTATTGCTATATGACTTATTTATCATACCCTGTATCCATTTCAAATGACTTGAAACTGGTTTTTCTTTGCGTGTAACTGACGACAAAAAGCCTCTGTTGTTATTGTATATATATGTATGTATTCTCGATCAGAGTCGATCTATGTCAATGTCCGTCCTTATGAATGCAACTGTCTCTCCGAGTCTGTATTGGGATATCGTATTCTATTTTTTATCTTAGTGTGTCATACGACATCACAAGTTAATTCATTATTGATAGCTCCGCCCATTTACTCCGAATCGATAAAGGTCGGTTTCGGTTTTTTCGGTTTTCTTTGTATAGCAAACATTTTTTATACCTTGAACCCATTCAATATGGGTAAAACGGGTATAATGTATTTGTGCAAATGTATGTAACATGCAGAAGTAAGCATTACCGACCCCATAAAGCATATATATACTTAATCAGCATCAATGGCCGAATCGATCTACCCATGTCCGAAATCAGATATCGATATCGTAATCCTTGTTTTTTTGGCAAGACATGTAGCTTCTTGAATATTATATTTATATCAAGTATCTCTCACTTTATAGCTAAATTCATTCATTTTCCTTTTTAAAAATACAATCACAATGGTGCACATATCAATCAGTCGGCTTATCAGTCAGTCGATCAGTTAGCTTGTCAGTCTTTCTGTCAAAGATTATGCCAGACAGTTTGTCTGTCCGTCAGACTGTCAGACATTCTTTCAATCAGCAAGTGTTTCTGTCTGTCAATCAGTCTCAGCCTGACAGATATTCGGCAGTTAGTTACCAGGTAGTCTTTCAATTAGCAACACCATCAATCAGTCTATCAGTCCGACATGTGATGTGTCTATCTGTGAGGCAGTCAGCAAGTCTTTTCAATCAGTCAGTCAATCAGTCTCTGTATCAATCAGCTTAAATGTGTAATCTGTCTATCTGTGAGGCAGTCAGCTAGTCTTTTCAATCAGTCAGTCAATCAGTCTCTGTGTCAGTCAGTTTGTATGTCTATCTGTGAGGCAGTCAGCAAGTCTTTTCAATCAGTCAGTCAATCAGTCTCTGTGTCAGTCAGTTTGTATGTGTAATCTGTCTATATGTGAGCCAGTCAGCTAGTCTTTTCAATCAGTCAGTCAATCAGTCTCTGTGTCAGTCAGTTTGTATGTGGAATCTGTCTATCTGTGAAGCAGTCAGCTAGTCTTTTCAATCAGTCAGTCAATCAGTCTCTGTATCAATCAGCTTAAATGTGTAATCTGTCTATCTGTGAGGCAGTCAGCTAGTCTTTTCAATCAGTCAGTCAATCAGTCTCTGTGTCAGTCAGTTTGTATGTGGAATCTGTCTATCTGTGAAGCAGTCAGCTAGTCTTCAATCAGTCGGTCAATCATTTGCTCAAATCACATCAAATCAATCTTTGTATATTTATTTAACTTACATGCTTATTATTACTTGCAGTTTACACTCTGACGCTGGTGGCCAATATTATCGGAGGTCTCATATTGCTATTTCATGCGGGCAAAGTATCCAATCTGTTTCTGGCCATTTTCTATACTGTGCTCTTTACGCCCGCTTCATACGTGTGCTGGTATATATATATATATGCATGCCTCTATCTCTCTCGCTCATATATATAAATATCTCTCTCTCTCTCTTTCTGTGTGGTGTCTAGGTTTCGGCCCGCTTATAAGGCATTCCGTAACGATTCGAGCTTCAACTTTATGGTCTTCTTTTTTGTATATTTCTTTCAAACGGTCTACACGGTCGTCCAGGCCGTTGGCCCCAAGCAATTGGGCTATTGCGGCTTTATAACGGCCATCGATCAGTTCGAGGGCTCCGCCTCGGGCATTGTTGTTGGACTGTTGCTATTGATAATAGCATTATGTTTTGCCATCACCGCGGGCGCCAATGTACTGATGATCATGAAGATACATACCATCTATCGCAGCACTGGGGCCAGCATGGATAAGGCCAAGGCGGAGTTTACCACAGAGTTTTTGCGCAATCAGCATGTACAGGAGGCGACCTCGTCGGCAGTTAGTTCGGCGGTTAATTCACAGTTCAACAATAGCAGATATTAAGCGGCAAACGAACGATCAATCAATCAATCAATAAATCAATCAATCAATTTACCAATCAACCAAACAACAACAAATAGCACAGCAAAGCAACTGAAACACAGCCAGGCCAAGCAATTAAATTAAAGCAAATCTATACGCAGCACTAAACTACATTTATAAACTATATATAAAATACTTATATAAATTCGTATGTGTACATGTATATATATATATATACATATATTTAAACGTATATATGTACATATACATATATGCATAGAGCAAGGCTTTTAGCGTACATAGCGAAAGCATAATTAATAACAAAGTGCTTTGTGCAATGAAGAATAACAAAATAATACAATTCCTAAAATGCGGACGTCCTTATTACAATTAGCTACTGTAATAAACTATATAAAACAATATATATATATATATATATGTGGATTTCTAACTGAACGCGGATATGAAATCTGTTATGGCAAATGGAAAGAGAAAAACGCAAAATGCACTTAAAGCACATGCAAAACGATAATATACATATATCTATATCTATATATTTATTGTAGATGTATATGTATATGTATATGTATATGTATTTAAAATATGTACTTACTTTAGAAGTACGCAAGAGTTGCTTCAAGTTATTGTGTTTCGCAAAAGTGTCCTAAGAAATGATTAAGCTATGAATTTATTGAAACCTAATGCTAAATGCAATTCAATTGAGCGCGGCATATTGTTTAACTAATGCAAACATTGTTCGGGCGCTGGCAAAAAGTTAAAATATAATAATCAACAGCTATGTGTATCTATAATGAAATTGATAATGAAATTGCTGATGATGATGATGATGATGATGCGGATAAGAATTATGATAAATATTGCTGATAATATGATGTTTTCTAGTTCTTTAAGTCGAAACCTTTACGATATGCATACAACAGCCACACACTCTACACACACACACACACTCTACACACACACACACACTCTACACACACACACACGCACACACACGCATCTCCACATCTAAATGTATTTAAACAAATGGAAAGGCATAAATTATACAAAACTTTTATCTTTAACTAGCTGAGCATTGTGCATAGTATCGCCCACTTATGAGTTATTATTATTATTATTATTATTATTAATATTAATATTAATATTATTATCATTGCTGTTGTTTTTCCACCCCCCCCCCCCCCCCCCCAACGCCTGCGTAGCCACATTTAATGTCGTGTCGTGTACTCTTTTTGTAATTGTAATTGTTAAACAAATATATCTATACATGCATATATACCCTTCATATATATATATACATATATATATATAGTATATATATAAATATTAATGAATGCAAAATTGTGGTTTTCCTTTTCATTTGCGGCCCCCACTTTTTGTCTAATTCTAATGCAAGCGAAAAAAGCCTATAAAATTAATTCAAATAAACAACAATAAGTATTTATAGATGTAACTTTATTCCAATTGACTATTTGGGGATCGCATTTGATCGCAAGATAACCCAAGGGTTTTTTTTATCTATGGGCAAGTGTATTTCATCTTCGACGAAAATAACAATTCCTTCAATGAACTTGCAATAATATATTACAATAACATTTAATTACTAGTATTTTGCTACTAAACACTTTTCCACCCATTTTCCGCGCGTGTGAATTCGTTTTCGAAATGCAAGCTTCTAGTCGCTCGCTTATGCTTGAACAATAAAACAAAAAAAAATCAATTTCCACCAATTTTCCACACTTGCGCGTGCAATTCGATCAAATCATGTCGGCGCAAAACTGTAAAGTACCGTGAAAACTCGAACTCGTCCGTTCGCTTAGCCATCAATCAAACGGTCAAACGGTCAATCAGTCAATCAGTCAAGCTGTAAGCAGATATATATTATTCATTTGTAGAAATGTGAAAATTATTTATATAACCATTTCATTTATAACAGCCATAAAAGCAACTCGAAATGTCATACGTTGGCATGGAATTGGAACACACACACACACACACACACACGCACACGCACACGCACACCACCGCATAACTGTCACGTACTGCGCGGTTAAGTGGATTTGAAGTGGGCGTGGCCGTGTGGGCTTGGGTCCTGGCCTGGCTTGGGGGCCACACAGATTGGCATATTTAGAAGTTTTGAATGCTCGTTAAAGACGTTTTCTCGCATGAAATGTAAATTTCATTTTGTATGCGAATGTGAAATTAAATCAACAGCAAATTGCCATAAAATGTTGAACAGTTGTGCGTCTGTGTGTGTGTGCTGTGTGTGTGTGCTGTGTGTGTGTTCATATCTTAGCTGCTGCGATAGGAAATCTCTAAATGCTGGCACTTGTCATGACTGCAGCTGGAAATGTTGCGCATACGCCGCGTTGTGCGAACATTTGTGGCAGCTGTCCAATGAAGCGGCAAGCGGCCAGAAGTGTCGAGCCGGGCGGGGAGGGGGGGGGGGGCAGGGAGGCAGATGCATCTCAGCCTCTGCAACTGCAGCACAGCCATATGCTGAATGAATGCTGAGCAAATGCTCAACTCAATTCAAGTGCTCGCTCGCTCGTCCTCGTTAGCGGCAAATCCGTTTGGCGCACACTTCTCCAATTGCAGTCACTTGGCACTGGATGGGGGATTGGGGATTGGGGGATTGGGATTGGGGATTGGGGTGGGTTTCGCTAATTGCCGCCAATGATTTGGTATTGATTGCAGTCGCCACGTTTGCCAGGTACAAGAACCATCCCAGAACCTAGAACCCGCATATCGATTTCGTGTCCAACCCCGGCGCAAGGGCCAAAACACGGCTGAATCCCAACCAAAAACAACAACAACAACAACAACAGCTGGCAAACTGACCTGGAGGGGCACTAAGTGGAGCTCTTAGCCAGCAAGTGGTCATCATTTATTATTTAGCTTGGACAAAGTCTGGCCTTAATAACAGCTCCAATTGGAGGCTAGAGTGCCGCCGACGCGCAGATACCCTCTACCTGGAGCAAGGCTCTTATTTCTATGTATAAACAGTTTAATAGCGTGTTAAAGGTTCCAATTTCCGGAAGTTATTTGATCAAAAGTTTAAATTGACTTTTAAAACCTGTTAACGACTAGATCAGGGTTATATATATGTATATATATACCTGTGGATTTGTTTAAAAAGGGTATTTGGCAGCCGTGCATGCTTGACTTTAACATTTCTCCTTCTATATAAAGTATTTTTCTAGATAGAAATGATAGGAACTGTAGGATTGGAACTATAGAGTTTTTAAGGAATTTTGCGATTTAATAATAATAATAAACACATTTGTCTGTCATAGCTAAGCCCTGAAAGTTTCAAAAAGATCGGACCATAAACGCCGAAGTTATTCAAGATTCGATTTCCTCAAGTTCGGACAGGAGAAACATAGTGGAAATGATGTAAAGGGCTACAGGGTAACTGTTAGTCGGTCATATTGTTCATATCCTGGTACTAAATAACCATCTGGGCACAAGACTTAGGGAGGTCAAGAATTCTTCAAGTCAGCTCTGGAAATGTAAAGGATCATCAACCATTTGCTGGTCTTCCTTTTGGGACTCCAGCGGAAGTTCTCGAGTAACGGCTGAAATTCTATACAACTTGAGTAACTATGAAGAAGAAGAAGAAATTCGCGACTACTTCTCAAAGTTGAATAGAAAAGGCGAAAATACACTTTGGATAGTGGAGGAGGAGAGAAATAAGAGAAAGACTTGCTTATATGTATATTCTTGCACGCCTTGGCAACTCTGGCCTCTGGGTATCCAGCATTGCGAATGGCCTTTAAATAAGGGTAAAGGAGGGGGAGGGGGGGGGGGTAATTGGAAGTGTTGGGTAGCCGCAACAGGTGGTCGAGCACAAAACTCCGCTAAAGGTGCGCAGCGAGAGATGCGAGTAAAAGAGAGCTAGCGAGCGAGAGGCAGAGTAAATCGGTGGGGCGGGGGGGAGGGGGGGGGCGTTGTGGATTAGTAGGTAAAGCCTGCGAATGGGTCTATTTACCGTAAGTAGCTGCTGGCTTAGCATTATCTATGCGACATACACTCCAGAGACTTATTGCAGGACATTCGAGTCAATTGAAAATGTTGCACAAATGGATATGAATTAATTAAACAGTTAGCAGTCCATTTCAGCCGGCCCCCCTCCCCCGCTCCCCCTTCCGGCGACAGCAAAACAATGCAATGCTGCCCCGCTCGCTGTGCATTAAATTGGGCAGCAAATGAGCAATGGTAGGCTGCAGGGCGGGGCGGTGCGGTGCGGTGCGGTGCGGTGCGGTAGATTTGTCCAAAACGTCAAGTCGTGGCAATTTTTCACACTATACGGAAGTATTATTTGGGTCACATTTCCTGCTGCTGCTTTTAATTAAAATCTTCTACGGCCGTCGTGGCTGGGCGGAAGTACAAATTTCTTGCCGTTACAAAGCGCAGAAACCCCCCCCCCCCCACACAGCCCACAGCCCACAGCCCACTGCCCACCGCCCACCGCACGCTATCTATCTCACTCGCGCTCACTGAGCGCGACTTGATTTGTAGCCGAGGCGCCGACTGTGTTGAGCCGAGCATCGAGCCGAACGCGCGCCAAGCCATACGAGCGCACAACCTATTGCCCTTCATAATGCCAAGGCAGGTGAGGTGAGTTGAGTTGTGGTGTGGTGTGTTGTAGTGTGCTGTGGTGTGGTGTGCTGTTACCGTGGGGGGGCGGCGAGTTACGTTCATTTCGTCAGCGGCCGCCAGATGATTTCAACTGAGATTGAAGATAAAACACATGCGCGCATCACGTTTGCCGTTTGTGGCCTTTCGGTCTCCGTTTCTGTTACTTTTTTAGTTTGTGTATGTTTTTCTGTTTCTGTTTGTGTTTGTGTTTATGTTGCCGTTTGCTCTTCTCGCAGCTTTCCAAAGCTCACAAGCGCACACACAAACACACACACACACACAGCCAGAGCGACTATGAGTTAGGGCGAGCGAGCGAGAGAGATAGACAGACAGCTTGGCCACAAGGCCGCACAATGTTCGGCATTGCGCCGCCACCATTCCACACATTTACACATTCTTACACACACACACACACACACACACACACACATACATCACACCCGCAGTCAGTTTGAGCTTCAGATTTAAGCGGCGCACATGGCACTTGGCGTTTCCTTAGGGCCACTGCCTGCTGCTGCTGCTGCTGCTTCTGCCGCCGCTGCCGCCCCGCCACTGCCGTCCCTTGCTACGCTGCTGCTGATGCTGCTGATGCTGCTGCTGCTGCTGCTGTTGTTGTTCTTGTTGTTTTTGACGCTTTTGGCCCCAGTGGGAAATGCGCAGCGCCCGCAGCGTGCAAATAATATTTAATTTTTGTATTTGGCGATTTCTCGAGAGCTTATGCTGTGCGCAAACTTTATGTTTGCTTTATCTAAGTTGTATCTGCCGCAGAGGCAATCGTCAATTTTTTAATATAAACTAACGAAGCCAAGCATTAATTTATAATTGTAATTAAATTGATTAGAAAATGAACAATACAAATCCGTAATTTAACGGAACCAATGCATACTTAGGGGATGAACAAAAGTTGCGCTTAAATCATGCCGTGAATTCAGTCGAAATTGTTAAATTACCGTTAATTTAATATAACCATTTTGATTTTTCTTTTATTTATTTGAACATTTTTGTTCTTTTTGTTGCATGTCAACAAATAAATATAAAAAAGATTTAATTCTGAATTAAAATTTTATATAAATATAAATACTTTCTGGAGTTGTTGGAGTCTGTCTCTTAACGGTTAATAGATGCCGAAACAAACTTAACGCAGCGAATTCAATTAGAAGAGCGCATTTAAAAGCTTCTCGCTCTGATCTTACTCGCAACATATGGAGTAAGCATTTCACCATACAGACCGAGCCGTCGCCGCCAGAACTGCAGCGATTGTTCTTGCAATTTCCGGCACGCGCTCTCTCTTCCCCTCTCTCTCTCTCTC